AGCTCTGGAGCTACTTGTACTTGCCCTCTGCTCTTCCTCAGTAGCATATTGGACATATTCCGACCTGAGGGGCTCATCTTCCAGCATCATATCTTTTAGCCTTTTGTTTCTGTTCGTGGGGTTTTCTTGGCAAAGATACTGGAGTGGCTTGCCAGTTCCTGCTCCAGGTGGGGGGCGGTTACTTAGAAAAACAAGGCAGCAATCCGTGAAGGGGTCTTTTTAATAACTTATGTCCAAAATCAACTTCATAGTGTCAAGATGTTTGCTTCTAATAACAAAGCCAATTGGATAGTTAATATTTTCATTGAAGTATGTTTCCTATATACCACCCCGTAGTGCTTAAAAGCTATATCTGGGTGGCTTACAATCATGCAAGTTACACAATGCCCCCCCACCCCAAGCTGAGTACTCAGTTTATCAGCCTCAGAAGGATAGAAAGCTGAATCAACTGAGCCAGCTGCTTCAAACTCGAATCAAACTCAGGTCATGAGCAAAATCTTCACTGCAGTATTGCAGTTTAACCACTTTGCCATGATGCTTTCATTAGATGCTTTGTGCATTGACAGTATGCTGAATACAGTAAAATTCTTGGATGCATTAAGATATTTAATTTTTATGAATAGAAGCTCAATGATTGGTTAAAGAAATAATTGAAATTCAAACAAAGCAAGTGGATGTTACCATGCCTTTTGGTTGAAGTGAAATGAAGTATATTAATAGTATTGATTACAAAATTGTGTAAAAATGGTTGAACTAGATGGAGATGTGGGAGAAAAAGAGGAAAGCAACATGGACAATAGCTAAAGTGATTTGTGCTGACTGGTTTTTGGTAGAAGAACTTCTTTCTAGAATTCTTGGTATGTGTCAAAGCTCGAGGCTATAAATTCCTTACATTTTAGAATGTAACTAAAAATTCCTCTGACTTTATTTTTTTGATTTCAAGGTTTTACATTTTTGGAGTGATTTTTTTCATTTTTCTTCAGGCAAGTAATCAAACATAGTTGTTCAGGAGCACTTCTTGGGCTCATGTGCTTCCCTGTTAGTGTGAAGGTAGCCCCTAGGATGAGCTGAATATGTTCATTCCTCGAAGATTTTTCCACATTCACTTTATAAATCTTTATTGACTTGATAATATTTTCTTTTTAGGATGTAGATGAAAATGGAGAGGTTTATAGGGCCACATACACTGCTTTCCGTTGTTCGTGTCTTTCTGGTACTATTGAAGCTCATGGAAAAGAAAAAGTAAGTTTATTTGACAATGCATTTTCACTTGTTTGCTTTGAAGAAAATAAGTTAATGTTCCATTAATTGACAGCAGCATTCATATGAAATAAAGCTTTTCTGTTTTTAATTGTTACTTTTTTATATAAAAGGGATAACAAGAATATAATTCATTAGGTAAGCAAGGATCTTGGCATGCAGTGTAAATAGTTGTGAATGCATTTGCTATGTTAAAATTATCTGAGACAAGATGGGAATGAAAAGGACAGATTGGAATAGTAAGAGGCTTCATCCTAAATATCATTCCATATATGCAGCATAAAATTGGGGTGGTGCATAAATATCTTTGTTACAACTAATACGACTGATTGTTTTGTGCCATCAAGCTGGAACTGACATAGCAACCTTAATAGGACTTTCAAGGTATGTGAGAAATTTATGGGGTGATTTTACCAGTTCTACTTTCCCAGTGATTTTCCATGGCCAAAAGTGGATTCGAACCCTAGTCTCCAGAGTTCATCTAGTTCATCTCAATATGACTGATACCAAATATTAAAGAATTTGTCCTGTGTTTGAGGTTTTCTTCCTTCCAAAAGTCTCTGTATTAATTTTTTCATAAAGGCCAATTTTCAAAGTGTAAACTTCCAGTCCTCAGATACATTTTGCCACTTTTCCAGTTCAGTGCTATTTCTAGTCTAGTCACTAGACAGTGAAAATGATTAATTCTTTATGTTGTAAATCTTGATTGCTCTCTTTAAAAAGAGACAAATGTTCCAAGATAAGAGAGAAAACTATTGTCTGCTCTTATTTTCCATATTTTGGCTGATGTTTTTATCCAGAATGAAACAACAACAAAGTTGTTCTTCTGTTCAAAAATTGATTTTGAAGAAACTGAATATATAAAACTTCCACTGCTTTTAGATTCAAATGTGTACAAACCTCTTTTCTCAGAGTCTATGTGTAAAAGGAGCTCTTTTTTTTTATTTGAAAAGTTGGCATGGATAGCTAAAGGAGCCAGCTGAAAGAGCACAAGCACTACGTATATCCTGTTGCAGAGTTTTCAGAACAGAGCTCTTTTTTTTTATTTGAAAAGTTGGCCTGGATAGCTAAAGGAGCCAGCTGAAAGAACACAAGCACTACGTATATCCTGTTGCAGCGTTTTCAGAACAGGTCGAAAGGTCTTATTAAGCCTTTTAGACTCCCTCACGGTGTCGTGGTGGCGCTGTGGGTTGAACTGCATAAGGCTCTGTGCTGCAAGGTCAGAAGACCAGCAGTCGTAAGATCAAATCCACGCAACGGAGTGAGCTCCCGTGGCTTGTCCTAGCTCCTGCCAACCTAGCAGTTCGAAAGCATGCAAATGCAAGTACATAAATAGGTATCACCATGGTGGGAAGGTAACGGCATTCCGTGTCTAGTCTGGGGAGGTTCCTTCTTCCATGTAGTCTCCAGAGCTGCATATACACCCTATAAATAACCTGGAACCTCTCGTCGTCAGTCTCATTGCTGAATGCATAGAAAAGATAATTATGGAAGGGCTAGACCTCTCTAACCAAATTGACAGCAATGGGTTACAAAGTGACTTAATAGGTCTTTTCTATCTATGACCAGTGCTGTTTTCAATATCTGATTCTTAGGAACTTTAATGATAGCCTTACCATCCATCTATTAGCCAGACTTACTATGTTTCTGAGATGTGTTCAGACACTGGGGCGGGCTCTGGCAGCTGAGCAGAATGGAAAGGTAGGGAACTTGAATAGACAATTAAGCACATATCTGGAACAGTTACAATTCTTCTTCAGCAAGAAAAGAACCCTGAGACTAAGATTGTAGTCAGAATGACTAGAACCCTGATCACCAGATGTAGAAGGAACTTTTTTAGCAGGAGGAGTAATGTCAGTAGTTGAGCTAGTGTGACTGATGTTGCTTAGTGCTTTTGTATATTTTTCTAACTTATTTCATGATAGGTTGTAGTCATCTTTTTGCCTAGAGATAAAGGACATTATTCACAGTTCTGGGACCTTGAGTGTCACCCTCTTCATGACCCTCACATGAAAGACAAACATAGACTTCAGTTTTGTGGAATGGTGAGTACATGAACAAATTATTTCTCTTTAGCTTAAACTTATATGTTTCCTGTTGAGATGGAACATGAGAAGGCCAAGGATATAATTTCACCTGTTCTGTACCTTCCTAAAAACAAAGGTACTGTATCATTATCAGGGAGTGTTTGTGTGTTTGTCTAATCTTACCTTTTTATAGTCAAAGGCTCAAAACAGTAAAAAGAAAAATAATGTTTGCATAATTTTCTGCAAAGTACTTTGTGTGTTGATAAAACACAGACAGCTAGCAATTACTGAAGATTATATTCAGGACTAGAGTCTCTTTGGGGACAGTACAGAAGGAGTGATTGCTGCTTTTTGCTTCTAAATGACTGCTCATCTTGAAAACTTTTGCTGAGATGATGACCAAGAGACAGTCTTTATCCCTCCTTTTTGTAATGAATAGTTATATGTTCCTGATTGTATATGCCAGTTCTGTCAAATTCAAGTGAGGCTGTCCCACCTCACCCACCTTAAAAGAGGGGAAACAGTAAGATAACAGTAATAAGCACTGAAAATTACTGGGTACAGCAGATTCTTGGGCCACGAACTTCTATATTTTGCTATATAGAATAATGATCTGAAGAGTTTAGGAGTCATATGGAACTCCACCATTTGTATGTGTTGTTGTTTGGTCCCAACTGTAAGAATTATACGTGAGTAGCATAACACTTCTCTTTAGACTTAAAAAGCTTTGCTATCTATCACCTGTTAAAAATGCACCGTTACTTGATAAGATTAGTGTTAATGTTTAATTTCTTCACAATAGGGCATTCTTGGGAAGGAAATCTTTAGAAATGAGGCTTCTCTGCCTGCTTTAGTAAAAATCAGTGTTCGTGATGTGTCCCAGAGAGAATGTCCTGACACCTTTGATCAAAAAATCTGGTATGTAAATAAGATGATAATATGTATACTCATTCCTTGTTACCAACGCAAACTATAAAAGCATTTCCTATATAGCATAGTATCTGGCACCTTTTCAGCAGATATTTATTTTGCAGTGGTCAGAGTTGTTAAATCGTAAGGATAGCGATAGCTACTGTACTACAGTGATTTACATTCAACCAATAAAATGTAGATAACACTTTGCCAATCCGTGTTCAGCAGCCCTACACAAAATTTCTAGACAATAAGGTCTATCTGGCACAGCTGAGTATTGTTTAACATTGCACTATAAATCTTAGGTGTAATTAAAAGTCAAGAAAAGCAAAACTGCATACACAGTGTACCTCTGATTATCCCACACTACAACTGAACAAGCTTAGTACAAGACCTGGAAAGGAAATGCCATTTTAGTTAGCCAATGTTTTTCTAGACATATTTCATATATGCTTGTTTGCCTCGCCTATTTCATTTCATTATATAGAAAAATCATGTATTGCATACAGATCCCACTGTGGGAGAGAAATGTTATCTATGTAGTTTTTCCATGCCATATGTACATTTATCTTACATGATAGTGTGTGGGTGGGTATGCAGCACACATTTTTCCTATGCAGAACAGAAAATTATTTACTATATTTGCCTTTCACCCTTCCACCAAAGAAAGAGCTTGGGGTGGTGTACATAGTTTCTTTCAGAACATAATATTGCCAAAGGCTATACAGATGTTTTTCTTTGTTTTCTGTGTAATTCAAGCATATGGGTTTTGCATTTATTTATTTATTGGATTTCTATCCTGCCCATCTAAACCAAAGGTCTGCTCTGGGCATCTATATTAAACACCACATAGAACCTTCCAAAGTTGAATAGACTTAAGAGAAAAATTCCCCTACCCTGCCCTAGTATGCAATCTCTGTCACCAACAGTTCCCTCAGTTCTCTTATGTGCATTGTTCAAGCGGCACATAAAATAGCACTCCAGAACTTCTACTTTCTTTTAAAAAAAAACCAGGAAATAGATCACCACTTTCTTGGTTTATACATTGTTATTGCTTATTACTCTTCTCTGCCCTGGGGGAAAGATATTAGTTTCCTCTCAGGTTTATATCCTCTGTTGGGCTGTTTAAAAGGTGTACAGTTTATGAGGCTGAAATCCTTTACACAGATGGACACTTGGGTGCCTTTTTTGTCTGGCAGGAGCTCATCAGTTGTAGAAATATCCTGCTTGCAAAAGATTTGCAATGGTTACATTAAAAAAAAGGAAAAAGAGTGAACCGCCAAACAAGACTTGAAGTTTTATCTTTAGGAAAAATTGCTGAAGGTAGTGGACTTCTCAACCAACAGTCAGAATTGACTTCAATGCCACCTTAAAAAAACACCCAAAAAAGCCACAATCTGTATCTTGTGATCTTGGACAACTCTCAGTGTCCATCTTCATAATTGGACCAAGCTGACCTGCTTTCAAAATTGAGTGCATGGAGGCCAACAAATCAGTCATTTCACCTCTGAGGACAATGCAGCACTCAGTTTCAGGAAGGAAGGATTCATGGTACTACTCTGCACTCTGTAGTTATACAACCCAGCACTTCAGCTTGGGTTCAGATACAAGCAGTGATAATAAGTCCTGGATCCAGTCAGGTTGTGTGTATTGGATTTGGTTCCTATGGGGAATTGAGAGGCTCAACAGAATCTTAGGTCTTGCCATCCATCACCAGACTGTGAGGATACTGTACTAGATCATCAGATCCATCACCTCCAAAGAAGACATAAAAGCATTTTCAGAGAAGTCGCTGTCAAGATCAGGGTCAGTTTTCCTCAGATTTGACATCAATCTCAAGGATCCCTGTTGGGATGGGTGGGATCTCCACTTGTCAGTATCAAAAATGTTCACAAAGATATGCAGGATTTGAAGGAAAGTGTCTTACATGTTAACATATTTCTGTCATCTGTCATTCTGCTGTGAAGGTTGTGATTGGTCATCTCCTGGTTCCACATGTGGGGAGCACTGCCTGTGCAGAGATTACAGTGAGAGGCAACCCCCAAAATTAAAACCCATTACACACTCATCAATTCTGTCAACTATTCAGAAGCGCACACCTCAGCAACATAGTCTGAGCCATTAGAACTGAAAAGAACAACAAAATGTATCTCTGACTGCTCTGCCAATACTGAATCACCTTCAGATCCAATAACTTTTGGAACCAAAATAATCCTTGGATCCCATGGGTCTAATAGAACCAAGCCCCTCTTCTGATCTGTCAGCCTTTCTAGAACCAAAGTCATCATTGAATCTAACAGCTTTCATGGAACCAAGATAGTCTTTGGGTCTGACAGCTCTTCCAATACTGAAGTCATTATTGGAACAAAAGGCTGCCACAGAACCAAGACTGTATTTTAATCCAACAGGTTTTCTGAAAACTGAAATTGAGAACTACCTGCCCAGAAGGACTATAGGAACTTCCATTGTCAGTACCAGAATATGTTCTTTCATTGGAACTGGAGAATGATCATTGATGTTCACCTGCATCGCAGTCCTTTTTAGTCCCCTTGCTGGATTTTCTGGTGGGAGATATGGCTCAGCTAGCTCAGGTCTTCAGAAATCTCTGAAAACTACGTCAAGGATCAAGGACTTCCTCTTTAATACTGAACGGTTGTTCAGTAGCAAGACCAATGAGGAGTTGGAAGATGGAGGCCCTAATCTAATTCAGGGAAGTTGATGTATCTATCACACCAAGAAAGTTTCATATGTTGAATCTGTCAACCATTCTGTTGCTAAAGAATGGGGACTGGTTTACTGTGCACACCTAAACATCTCTTAGACCAGATTGTTGACATTTCATAAGATTAGCAATAGGAGATGAACACCTACAAGTTCAAGGTAACTGCTCTTTGGTCTGTCAACAGCATCCCGAATATTCACAAAATGAATGGCACCAGTTGCAGCCCATCTTTGAGTTAAAGGGAATCACAATTTCCCTTACATTTTCCAGTGGTAGTGGAAATTGGAAAGGGTATACAAAGAAATGTGGAATTTAATCTCCAGCTTCTTGTCAGATCTTGGTCTTCCTGTAAATATAATCAAAGTCCCGTCTCAATCCATTTTGTAAATAAGAACAACCCTGGACTCCAAAGTAGCAAGAACATTCCTACTGAAAGAGAATTCAGAACATTATACTGTCATTCAAAAAAAAACACTAACCTTAACAGAAGACCTAATTTATCAACTTCATTGATTGATAAATTACCAAACCTGATAATAGGAATTCTTTTCAACTCTCCCTGCATGACAGGCTGGGGAGCTCACTGCTTAGGGCATGATATTCATGCAGCATAGTCAGCCCACAAAATATAACATCATACACTATTTGTTACCTTGAACTTCTTGCACTATTCAAAGCACTGTGAGCATTTGAACAGTTTGAAGTAGGCAAGTTATTCAGATAACCACAGACAACACCATTATAAGTTTTACATCGACAAGCAAAGAAGAACAAAGTCCACGTCTCTCTTGTTAATGGTGGAATGTTGTATTCTCAGGCACATATTTTCACAGGCTGTATGTGCATCAGAAGTGGAACATCATGAAGCAGACTAACTCAGGAAGAATATGAACCACAAACATGAGTAGGAATTTTTACAGCAAGTTTTTTCTACTTGTAACCAGCCATTGAGGAAACCCTGTTCTGGATATGTTTGCCTCCCAAAAGTATACATGGCAGCCACTGTAATATATCAATTGAGGGGTCATCCATTAAGCAGTTTTCTTTTTCTATCCAATGCTGAAAATATTTATGAAGGGTAAGGAATGTGCATCTCAGTGTTAAATCTCCAGCGCAGCATTTTGTCTGTGGTTTCAAAAGTTAATGAAGTCACCATTTGAACCAATGACAACATCACACCTTTGTTTACTGACACTTAAGACAAGAATTCTTAGCAGCCATAAGTCTGCAAGGAGAGCTGGCATATTGCACTCTGAGACGCAACCTACCATAATTACAGATTCACATTACAACACATTATGTTGTATCCAGGCATAGCTTTTCTTCTAAAGGTAGTGCCAGAATTTCATATGGCATAACCATCGATTTTACTAACGTTATATCCATCACCCCACTCTGGAAATATGTCATCATTTCTTAGATGTTTGCTTTCAGGCTTTTGAGGACTAAAGATTTTAGAAAAATAATTGAACTAGTTCTCTGTTACTATGGTCCACATAAAGGTCAATCTGTGTCATCTTAATACTTAGCAGCATAGCAAGAGTACCACTATTAGTATCCTTGAGAAGTTACTCCAAAAGTCAGTGACTGCTTCAAATACCTTCTTGAAAGATATACAATTTCAGGAGGTTCGCAAAACTGCAACAGGGTCACAACCAATTACCTGTGTAAAGCACTGTAGACTAGATGACCTGCCAACCAGTAATCCTCTGTTCTGGTGTGACAGCCAGTCAGGCAGTAATTGAACTTGTTAGTTACCTGTGTGTGCATCACAGAGAAGTCGGTATGTATGGGTTACCTACCTGTAACTGTTCTTCAAATCGTCATCTATGAATTCACACAACCTGCCCATCTCTTCTCTCCCATGCTACAGTGATTAGCTGTTAGGTGGTGAACAAGGAGTAGGACTGAGGGAACTGTTGGCAAGACTTGGAGCTTGCCTACTAGGATAGGGGAGGGGAATTTTTTTCTTAAGGCTGTTCAGCTCTGAAAGGTTTTGTGTGGTGTTCTGCATAGGCGAAAACCCATGTGTGTGAATTCAGAGATGACCACTCAAAGAACTACAATTATAGGTAAGCAAACATTCCTTATGCTTATTGTGGCACTATGAAATAGAGTTAGTTTAGTTAAAGATGAACCAATGCTGTATTTTTACTTTAGTGAACCACATGTCTAGTTTTCCTAAATTCAGATTCATATCTCTTTTCAAACTCATCATTTCCATTAGAATTGGTTAGATAGTCCCAAGAGTAGTATTGACAGACTTGCTTGCATCATGTTCCAGTAAACGTTTCATTTAGTTCTACAGTTAATCACTATCACCATAAAATCATAGCAGCAATGAGGTATTGAGGAATCCATGTTATTCTGAAGTGCTTTTAAAAGAAGTTTTCATAAGATGGTAACTAAGTGGTCACCTAGCTTAATAGACCTTTCTAGGCAAAAGTCTGACTTACTAGGGGAAAAGATTTTAAAATTATGCTAACAAAAATATTATAGACCCAACTTCAGGGGAAATAATTTCACATTTCTCTTCTCAAAAATCAGGAAGGGTGTATGTGCTCAAGAAGATGTTTATACATTTCCTCCAACGAGGATTGGTGAATCAAGTACGCTGAAAATCAGCATGCGGAATTATTCTGCTTTTTCCAACCAGGTATTTTAACTTGCAAGCATTGTTTCAATATGCAATTATTTAATGTCTTACTGCCAACACAAAGCTAATGCTTAACAGAGGGTATCACATTGAACTTTGTACCTGTGTCATTGTGATTCACATTCCAGCATTTAGTTTCAGCTGAAAAACATTGATATCTCACAAAACTATGCTGCATTTACATTTCGATTACAATTTGAAACTTGTCCAATTTAAATTAGATTATTGACCAAGATTAAATACAATTTGTGTGTGTTTTTATTTATTTATTTGTTTATTTGTTTGTTTATTTGTTTGTTTATTTGTTTGTTTATTTAACTTATATGCCGCCCACACTACCCAAAGGTCTCTGGGAAGCTTACAACAATTAAAAATGCAGTAAAAAATTAAAACAATTAAAATACAATTAAAATATTTACTCTAAAAATTGCCATCAAGACCCACAGTTGATACTATTTAAATTAAAAGCCTTCTGGAACAGGAAGGTTTTGACCTCACGCTGAAATGTCATCAGCGTCGGCACCAGACAAATCTCAGTTGGGATGGCATTCCATAGTCTGGGGGCAGTTGCTGAAAAGGCCCTTTGTCTACAAGCCATCTCTCTTACCTCCTTGAGGGATGGCTCTTTCAAAAGGACCCCCCAGCTATATCTTAATTGCCGGGTAGCTTCATATGGAAGGAGGCGGTCCTTCAGGTATCCAGGGCCCAAGCCGTTTAGAGCTTTATACGTCTACACAAGCACTTCGAATTGGGCTCGGGCAGCAACTGGTAGCCAATGTAATTTAAACAGAATTGGCTTGATATGTCCCCAAGTGGCCCCACTACTCACCAGCTGCACAGCTCGATTCTGGACCAGTTGCAGTTGCCGGACCGTCTTCAAAGGCAGCCTCACGTAGAGCGCATTGCAGTAATCTATACGAGATGTTACCAGTGCATGTGTAACTGTCATGAGACTCCGCTCATGCAGGTAGCACTTAGCTGGTATAATTTCTGCAGCTGAAGGAAGGCACTCCTGGCCACTGGTTCCCCCTACACTAGACTGGGGTCCAGGAGCATGCCCATGCTGTGAACCCTGCCCCTTAGGGGGAGTGTAACCCCATTCAGGGCAGGGAAATGGCCCTCCAGCCTGTCCAGCAAAGCACGCACTAACAGCACTTCCATCTTGTCTGGATTGAGTTTCAATTTATTAACCCTCATCCAGTCTATTATCAGGTCCAGACACGAGTTCAGCACAGAAACCGCCTCACCTGGATTGGTGGGAAACAAGAGGTAGAGTTGAGTGTCATCAGCATATTGCTAGCTCCTCAACCCAAACCTCCTGATAACCTCTCCCAGTAGTTCCATGTAGATGTTAAATAGCATGGGGGACAGTATCGAGCCCTGAGGAACTCCATGACATAAACACCATGGGACAGAGTAACTGTCCCCCAGCACCACTCTCTGGACATGGTCAGCCAGGAAGGAGCGGAACCACCATAAAGTGGTGCTCCCAACCCAGCCAGCCTATCCAGAAGGACACCATGGTTGATGGTGTTGAAAGCCGCTGAGAGGTCAAGGAGGATCAACAGGGTCACACTCCCCTTGTCTCTCTCCCGGCAAAGGTCATTGTACAGGCCGATCAAGGCATTCTCCGTACCAAAACCCGGCCTGAAACCTGATTGAAATGGATCCAGAAAATCAGTTTCATCCAGCAGTGCCTGGAGTTGCCCAGCCACAACCTGCTCCAACACTTTGTCCAAATAAGGGAGGTTAACCACCAGCCTTGGGTCCAGGTTAGGCTTTTTTAGGAATGGCCAAATTACCGCCTCTTTCAAAGTGTTAGGGACCATTCCCTCTTTCAAAGAGGCGTTCACGGCCTCCTGGACCCAGGTGCGAACCTCCCTGGCAGATCTTCCAATTAGCCAAGATGGGCAAAGGTTGAGTGGAGTGGTGGTAGAACTGATATATTCAATCACCTTGTCCACATCCTCAGATCTCAACAATTGAAACTCATCCATTAATACTTGACTTAAGCACGGCACACATTGTCTGATTGTGCAGTAACAGTGGAGTCCAACCCACTGCGAATCTGAGCGATTTTCCATCAAAATGAATGGCAGACTCATCACAGCGAGCTGAAGAGCAGTCCGGGACTCCACCTGGTTTTCTTGGTTGAAGAAGATCCTGGACCACCTGAAACAGCTCTGCTGGACGACATTCTGAGGAAGCAATATGGCTGGAGAAATACTGCCGTTTCGCCAGCCGTATTGCCACGAAATAGGCCCGATAATGGGCTCTAAATCATGTTTGATCAGACTCCCAGCAGGATTTTCTCCACCTGCGCTCCAACCATTTTCCCTCTCACTTCATCACACGCAGTTCAGAAGTATACCAAGGAGCTGTCTGGGCTCTGCGTGTAGGGAGAGGGTGCTTAGGCGCAATCATGTCAACCGCCCGGGTCATCTCATTCCATAGGATGACCTGAGTTTCGACAATTTTTTAACTTTTTCTATTTTTTTGCTGAATTCTAGATAAGTCTTTGGAACTATATGCTTGCTTTATGATGTAGTAAGCAGCCACTATCTTTTAAATAATTTTAATTTCTTCTTATTTGCAGTTGAAATTTAGAAGTCCCAAAGCACCTTTTTACATAAAGCATTCCCAGTATACTTTAAGGTAAGCATAGTCACATTTTGTGGCTTTAGCCCTTGGAGGAAGGGAACTAACACATCTGGAAATATCTTCTTTGCTTTATGATGAACCAGAAATTAGCCATACTGGCCTTCATATGGCACCTCATGGCGCAGTGGTTAGACTGTTGTACTCTGCCAAAATTGTGCTCACGACCTGGGGTTCAGTCCCAGTTGTCAGCTCAAGGTGAACTCAGCTTTCTTCTGAGGTTGGTAAAATGAGTACCCAGCTCACTGAGGAGGCAATGTATAGCTTGCATAATTAACTTGTAAAACCACCCAGAGAGTGCTTTAAGCACTATGGGGCGGTATGTAAGCAACATCCTTTGCTTTTGCTTTGTTTTTCGTATAGTACAGATCAGTTTCATGTTGCTTTATGTCTAAGAAGTTTTTATTCTTGAGGAGTTAACAGGATGAAATTTGCTCTAATTTGATAATAAAATGGGATATAGAGGTACAGATTTGAAATGGGCATGAACCAGCAATTCAGTGGTTCATTTATCGGCCGAATAGTAAGTGTTCAGTGCTTCAAAACCCCACCTCCTCTGGTGGGTAACTACTCAGTGGCAACACCTAGAGGAGATGGAGCAAGGATGCCAGGCCATTGAGTGGGTGCCTGCTGGAAGAGGCGGGGCTTGGAAGCACAGAACACCTGTTCGGATCATAAACAAACCAGCAGTTTGTGCCCATCTCTAGTACAGATAATAAAAATATGCTTCGCTGTCAAATGAAACTTGGAGTGAATTTATTTCTGAATTGTTATTTTTGAATTTATAATCTGCCTTATTTACAAATGCTTCAAGGCATCTCACTACTGTTTATTACTGTTTATTTAAATATATTGATATAGAGAGAGATACATGTACATGCACCACCTTTCCACCTGATTAATAAATAAAAACTCATAATAAAAATTACTTTGAAAATCAGTGATGAGTTTTGAAAGCTCTGGGGTTTTCCATTGAGTTTAAATTCAATATGCAAGACAGTGCTAGTGTTTGTTACGTTATAGCATGCTAGCTAGTTGACAAGATAACATTCTGCATTTTGTCAGACCAAAAATATGGTAAAATGCTATGGCTTCTAGGCAGCTTTTCATGAGATATCTCAGTAAAATTCAGCAAGTTGTTAAGGGCATGTAACTTATGTCAATGTATCTTTTGCAGATGTCATCACTATTGCAATTTACCAGTCCAGTTCAAACCAATAGCATCAGGTACTTTCAAAGACCTACTGGTGGTAGAGACAGACAAAAGTGGTGTCCTTACCATTCAGCTCATTGGTGAGGGGTTTGGTGAGCAGGTCTGCTGTTAACAATATATGCTAAACGTACAACTAAGTTATTGAATGAAAGTTCTTTTTTGTATATTAAAATTATATTTTGTAGAAAACTGAATTGCTTGTAATTTTTGACAAAGTAATTTTGTATGTAATCATGTAACTCACACTACTGCACTTTGGCTGCCAGAAGCAGCATTTTTTTAATTTTTTATTAATTATAACTTTATAAATGGCAGTTGTATGTATTAAAACATGATTTTCTAAAATAAAGTCCTGCCTTGAATTGTTTTCTGTTTTAAAATGCCTGTCACTAAATGCTGTGCACCATAACTATTTCTATCTGGCTAACAATGTCAGGTTGAAAATAAAAAATGTTCTAAAAAGCTTTCAGGATATTAGCATTTAATATATCAGAAGAGTCGGACACGACTTAACGATTAAACAACAATATCAGTTTAGCAAAACAAAAACTTGCGTACTCTTGTCATAGAATCACTTTGTATAATTCATATTCAGCTTTAAGAATATGGTCTGGGTTTCTTTATAGCAGTTTCCCTTTGAAGGGTGGACAAAGGGACAGATATGGATCCAGGTAAGTTTTAAAACTGTACCACTGTTATGGTAATTGACCTTAATGTACCACTCATTCAGCTGCCTAACTGAAACCTTAGCTTATTATTGGTTAGCATTTCTAGTGTTCATGGTGAAAATTGCATTGTTGGCAACTGATTGCTTGGGGAAATAAGTATTACTCTCTCACATATTTTAAACAATGGTGGCTAGAAGTGGCTGACCATTATAATTCAGCCAGGGTTTCAAAAATAAAGAATTAGCAGCCTTCAAGTTTTTCCCTTATCGGGAGAAAGGTGTACAAATAAAAAATGAATAAAACAATATTGTGGCTATAGGTAATTTAAAACTAGTCTTTGGCATTACAGTGGTGACTCGCTTAACGGGCGCCCCGGTTAACGACGAATCCGCATAGCGATGGCTTTTTTGCAATCGCTTTTGCGATTGCATTGCGATGTTGCCTATGGGGGGAAATCGCTTTGCGACGATTTATCCGGAACGGATTATCGTCGCTATGCGGGGCACCACTGTATAGGATTAGTTTTCTGGGATCATTCAGGTATTAGCCACATGTAGCTTTGAATGTTACATTCAATAGCAGTTGCTATTGGCTATTTTCCACACTGTGGTTATTATTTAAATTTGTTAATATAATCATCCTAGAACTGCAGAGCTGGAAGAAACTTTGTAGATCATCAAAAGTCCAGCCCCTGTCAAGGAAGCGCATTGGGGGAATTCAGCACCAAACTGCTGACTTCACAGCCAGATACCTAAACCACCAAGATATCCAGCATTCTAAATTTGTTATTCCATAGCTCCAGAGAAACTAACAAATATTAAACTAAAATGTTTTTAATAATCAGACAGATATAAAGGACAAGCAATTCAACAAACCATCAAAGCAATTAAATATCATTAAAGACATCCCAAAAGATAATGGTTTGCCAGCTGCCTGAAACTTGATGATGAAGACAAAGAAGGCATCTGTTGACTGAAACTTAGAAATAGTGTCATGTAAAAGACCTTCATATGGAAGGGGCACAATGAGAAGAGTTTTTGAAGATCTTAAGAAATGAGCAAGTTCCTGTGAACTCTACATGCTTTAAACTAAAATGCAGGCAAAACATAGAGATAAACTCAGTTTTTCACAAATTATTTTTCATCACTCTAATTAAACCATAACAAAGGCTTCATGCCAATTGCACTGAATAAAAACTGAACAGTTTCTACTGTTTTAGCTACAGCTTCCTCTATAAACCTCATAGCACAAAATAAATCCTTGATTAATAAATCATTGCTATCAGATTTGAGATGTTAAAGTATTCCACAGGCCCATATGTAACCCCAGGAGAAAAATGGGAGCCCTAGGGGGCAGGATAGAAAGGACAGGATAGAAAGATTTCTATTAGTTTAAGTTAAATATTTCTGGTGTCCAATCCAGTGATGCCAATGTAAATTTATGCAACAGGATTTTACTCACTATATTCCATCTTGAGATGCATAAAAGCAGAGAAGGTTAGAAGAGGTAGGAGATCAGTATGTTGAAGGTCTTGAATGAATTTAGAAGCAAAAGTGGGAAAGCACAGTGAGACAACTAATTTCTAAGAGCATATATTAAAATACTTCAAATAAGTTTTATAAATGATAAATTAATAAGAGCAGAAGCCTTTTTTATTTTTATTTTTTATTTTTAGTAAAAGCTCACTGAGTCTGTTTAGGACAACCATGCTATTGTGAGTGCCTTAGTCTATTTGGGAGATGGATACTGAAGCTGCTGTCTTAAGTAGTGGATACTGTGTGCAGTGACACACAACAGTAATGAGATGTTAAAGTATGGAATTCCGTGAGCTGTGAGGTGATGCTGCAAAATTGGGGAGGAGGGGCAGGGACAGTGTCTCATAATCATTCCCTTCTGTTGAAGGACAGACCATGTGAATGGCAGATGGCCTACCCTGTGTCCCCAAGCTTAGTCTACTTCCTTCCAGTGTGGTGAAGGACGCTGTCCCATCCTTACTGCTGAGAAAAGATTCAGCTGCCACTCATTGGCTTCTATGTGGAATGGTGCTATCACATCCTTTGCTTTGGCCCTGAGTAGGGTTCCTCTCCCTCCCATCTACTGTATGGTAGAAGACCTACTGTATGCTGGTCTCATTTAAGAAGTATCATGACCCAGCAAGCACAATATCCTGTTTCCCTGAAAATAAGACCTAACCTGAAAATAAGCACTAGTATGATTTTTTAAGATGCTCATAATATAAGCCCTACCCCAAAAATAAGCCCCAGTTAAGTGAAATGCCGCCCTCCAACATTGTGCAGCAACTAGAAGATGATGATGTTACTGTATTTGAATAAATGTAGATTGCTGTACATGACAAAATAAAACATCCCCTGAAAATAAACCTGAATGCGTTTTTAGAGCAAAAATTAACATAATACCATGTCTTACTTTTGGGGAAACATGGTATGTGTTATGAATATTAGGGTTCTAGGTTTAATTATAAGCCCTCTTACTTTTAAGTAGCCTTTCTGCTTGAAACTAATCAGACTAAAAAAATTAACATTGGTTAACGTATTCCATAGAGTTTCCCTTAGTACAAAATGCAAAGCTGCAGTTTTGTGCCCACTTGCCACATGTCTGAATAGACATGTATAGGGTACTAGGATTACTGTATTCTGAAAATCCTATGCTATCCAGGAACAAGCAATAAGGTTAGATTGGCAGGTATCAGCAGACATCTGTATATCCTATATTTTTCACTGCCTTCTCTAGTGTTTATGTGAGAAGATGATATCGTCATGTGAAACTGCATGTGCTCTCCTTTGGCTTCCACTTCTAGCCTGTGTTTAGGTGCTTTAATCAGTGTTTGAAATGCTATTTGGTACTTGCATAAAACCTGAATGATACCTGGCAACAATTCTCTCTGGTGATTTGAAAGAGTCAAGTGAGGCAGGAGTGGGGAGAGAAATCATCCATTGGAGCATACAGCATCTTCACCCTTCTTTGTATTAATTTGTATTAAATCTAAATAGGAATGCTAAGAACCTGTACTATGTGTTTAATAACCAATTGGTGTATTAGGTAAGTAATTATAATAAAATTGTTCTCTAATGCAGAAAAAAACAGCAGGAATAAATCTACGTCCTTTCTTTCCTTTATCTTCCTTTCAGATTTCTACCAGGCTAGCTGTAGGTAATACTCATCCTGCACAGCCTTCTATTTCATTGTGAACATTCTGTCACCAGTCAGAGCTGTCAGGTATATCAGTCATGGAGTATTGTGACTGTGTCAGAGACATAAACAGAGAGATTAGATGGTTACAAAGAGCTGTGAATAAGGGAAATTGTGTTCAGAAGGGGAGGGGAAAGTTAAAGAAACTGTTGTATCAAAAGGTCTGTTCATGAGGTTGCTGCTAATATGTTACAGCTGGAACAAGATAATTGAGGAAAGAGATCTTTGGGTGTTCTCCGCTAAATGCTGGATACTTGCAATAAATATTCAAATGCTTGTTTTTAGTTGCAAGTGCCAGATAACCTATTCAGAGTGAAATACAATTCCTTTCAGAACTTTTAAAATCTACTGCCAAGAAATGTTAGGGGCAGTTTTATAAGCCCAGAAGGAATATTTGTGCTAAGTGAAGTCACAAAAATACTTTTTCACAAAAGTTACCGTGGAAAATCCACTCAAGCCTTAAATGCCTGTGCGGTGAGAAATATCTAGTAGCAAATTTAGTTTCCACCAGATTATTTTTCATTACTCTTTCCTCTTAGCAAATCAGGTTAATTTTTTGGGGGGGATAGGGATGCTGAGTTCATAGAATAGAGTTATTAAAGCCTTGTTATTCCGTTAAGTCTATTACGTTTTCCTTTGTATTTCAGCAGTAAATCACCCGTCAGTCAATTTATAGGAAGGAAATACTTCATTTGCTTCTATGCAGTTAAAGAATTTAGTTCCCTGTTTTAGGATTCTCAGTTCTGAATGAAGGGAAAACTAGTAGAGACCTTACTTGTGAAAAATTCCCATGAATTTAACTAAAAAGTGCTATAATGTACAAAACTCAAACTTCTTTCTCATTTCTTTTGCATTAATAATAAGGCAAGCAGATTTTTTAATATTCCATCTGTTTCTAGGTAACTGAGTAGCAAGTTGGTATAGTTCACCCCCAGTTAGCTGATATCTGTAGTAGGACTGGGGAATGTTGTTATTGTGACCCTTGTCAGCCCTAGATCTTATAGTCAATGGAATTTTATGAACCTGGAGTCCACGGTAGCCTGGAAAGAGACTCAGGAGCTCAGAAACCTCTGGCGCCAGAAGAGATGTCAAGCTTACTGATCATTGGAGGGAGTTATTTCATCTTGGCAATGTTTTAGAAATAAGTGTTAAAGTTATGATGTATTGGACGATTTTATGATGTTTGTTACATTGTTATGTTTTTTAATCATGTGTGTAAGCCACCCTGAGTAGACTTTGTCTAGGGGGGCGGGGTAAAAATCTAATGAAAGTAAAGAGAGCCAAGTGGCCCTAAACTGCAGTGATTTCCTCCTTCATGCCTGTGAACTCTGGGCTGAGACCAGAGCCTAAAACAACTTTTGTGATCCTTGAATCTAGCTCGGATTGGACAGCACAGCCTCCTCTAAGAGTTCCATGATCCCCAGAACTGATGTGCCAGTACCAACAGTGTGTCCGGCATGGGGATAAAGCCCTCCTCTGAAGACATTCCACTTTATAGGAGGGATTGGAGCCTTGCAGTA